ACCCAAAAATGGTAAGGGAAATGAGTCTAATGGGTTTATGTTGCTGCCAAGACCCTCCTCGGCCATTAAACCTATATAAAGGCATTTACCAATAAATTGTAAACACACATTGAGAAAAATAAATTTGAAGTTTTTGCTTTCTTCAAGAATTAGTTTCGCTAATTTCTTTTAACGTCTTCAAGTCATTCAAAACTATGGAGTTTTCTGAAGTCTTGTTGAGTCAAAAAACTAGAATCGACTTATCAGATAAGCTTATGCCGTCTTTTTTTTTCTTGTTTTTATTTCCCTTTTTCTTTGTTTATGCATGTCATTTAGGTGGGTGTATTCTTAATTAGGGAGAGTTAATTAGGCAGTTAAGTCTCTATATTGCATGAGTTGTGAATGTTACAAGAGTTCATTTGATTCTCTCCATACCCTCCCGCCTCAATAGGTCTCTCTTTAATCTAAAGCATAGTACCAGGCATATGGGGATAAGCCCGATCAGGTTAACGAACTTGAAACATTTCATGGGTGTTAACCCTTTGATGAATGACAATCCACAAAACACCTTTAACTTTGAAGATACTAAAATTTTCCAAAATATCTTGACAATGTGGAATTGTGTGGAGATGGGATTTTTGATGAAATAATTGAATAATGACTTAGATCTATACAACCTTAAAGGTTCAAGGCTCTAAATATATCTATTTGGATGAGAGCTGAATTGGTTCCAACATGGCTAATAAGGATGAAATTTCAGAAGTCTCACTGTCAAGTAGGTTAAGTTGGAAGCAAAAGTTCCAAAACAACTTGTCCTCAATATTCAAGATGAAATTGGATACATGGGTGATGTGTTTGGCAAATAGGTTGCATAATTTAGGAAATCTAATGATCGATGGTTGATCTCCCACCCAAGTATCTTCCCAAGAAAACACTCTAGATTCATCTCCCACATAAATTTGGATAAGTGAGACAAACAAAGGATAGAATTGGAAGATGGAGTTCCAAGGACTTCAGTGGGTAGTGGAACTTCTTACCCAAGGAATCCCATCCATCCTGTCCACTCTCATAGGACACTATTCATCACCCTATGCTATAAAGTGTTTGGTCCACAAGAGAAGTGCTAAAGGTATTTAGCCAATAATGATAAGTTCTTTGCTATAAGATTCTTAATGCTCAATCCCCTGAACTCTTAGATTGACAACAGAGTTCCCACCTCACTAACTGATGTCTATTCTCCTCTCTCGCTCATACCCAATAAAAACATTTCTCATGCGGCTCCATAACCTCTCAGCGATTCTGACGATAATCTTGAAAAAGGATTAAACATAAAGTGGCATTCTAGAGAGACATATTTGGATCAAAGTGAACCTCCTCAGAGAGAAAAGATCTCATCTCTAACTCTATAGATGCCTAGCTGTTTTCCTATACCCCATCCTAAAATGTCTAGCTCCTCTAGTTACTTCCTAATGGACACTTAAGTAATGAACCATAATAACTTGGTACATCTAATAGACTCTATTAGAAGGTCAAATGCTTCCTCCTTGACATTAAGCCCAATAAACCCACTCGTATCCAGATTGATTTTCAAACCTAAGATGTCTTCAAGCACTTGGATAAGAGTGAATGTTTTCCTAATGGACTGGTTATCATGTTCAAGAACAAAATCATATAATCAACAAATTGTAAGTGGGAGATTCAACCCTTTCTTTTTCTACTTTAATGCCTTCCACAGTGCCCCTTACCATTGCCCTATTCAACATCTTACTCACTACATCTACTACATCCACTACATTCACAATTTAGTTCTACCTATAAAGAAGTAAAGATTTGGTTCTATCCACTACATTCATAAGTAAGAAGTCCATATTAATTATACCTTAGTCGTTAAAGTCACTAATGTTGATCATTACTTAGCATATGTAATCTTCATTAAGTGAAGGTTTCAAATCCTTGGTTAGTAATAGCCAAGGTAGAGGATATAAATTATTTTGGTGACTAAACCACCATAAATTATTGCATTCCTTTTATTTATTTTACTTTTTAATTTTATTTGTTTTAAATTCTTTTAATTTCCTAATAAATTTTAGATTATATAAGTTTATCTTTGATTCAAATATCTATCCTCTTTAGTGTCAGACAATTGATATCATAGTACAATTCTCTTATGATTTTACATGTCTAAAAACATAAATGGAAATCCTACCAATGAAAATGCATGCACAATACTCTGAAAGATCTTTGATTCTATTGTTTTCAATAGCTTAATTACAACTATTAAAGAATTCACTAAGGCATGGAAAGTAATTCTAAATAGACCTATAATCTCAATAAAAATTGAAAAAGGTGAACAACAACTAAAGACACACAAGGAATGTTATCTCAAGAAAAAAAAAAGACGCACAAGGAATGGACAAATGCAAATGTTCAAGTCTATTCCAAAGCAATTGACATGCTATGTTGTATTATAAATCCGAATTACAGCAAACATATCTGCGGGTACATAAATGCCAAGAAAACATGTGACAAACTTGAAGTGACACTCAAAGAAATTACAAGCGTGAAAGAATGTAAAATTTACTCATTAGCTCCTAACTATGAATTGTTAGGATACAGATGGAGGAAAGAATTGAATATACGTTCCCAAGGTTTACAGACATAGTGAACAATCACATAAATCTAGCAAGGGCGTATCAAGAAGTAATTCCCATCAAGCACAACATTTACTATCTAATACATATGAATAAATGTGACTACAGTACAACCAACAAGAGATTTCCAGAATATGATGTTAGATGATTTATGCATATCGTTGTTGACTTACTAGATAACCATAAGTTACAATGAGCAAGTGCCCAAAAAGAAAAAGTCTATTGTTCTCAAGGCTCAATTAAAACCAAGCATTAACAAGAGCTAAAATAGTTTCGACAATGAAGTCCATGTCAAAATATTTACCATCTAATACATCAAGTACAACATTTACTATCTAATACATAGGAATAAAAGCGACCACAATATAACAAACAAGAGACTTCTAGAATATGATGTTAGAAGAATTCTGCAGATCCTTGTTGACTTATAAGATATAAGTTATGATGACCAAGCGCCCAAAAAGAAAAGTCTATTGTTCTCAAGGCTCAATTAAAATCAAGCATTAACAAAAGCAAAAAGTAGTTTAAAAAATGAAGTACTTATCATGATGAAAAGAAAATTCAACAAAACAATTTAAATAAGAAAAATATACAAAATCATCAAGAAAAGACTTCAGAAGAAAGATTGCTAAAAATGCAAACAACATTGTCCTATCAAGCCTAATTGCCCACAATACACAAAAAAGGCATGGTAATCTACCAAGCAGACTAGGGTTTAAAAAGTGTATGAAATTAAAGAAAAGAAATGATAAAATCCAATCATAATCATAAGAATTGATAAAAAGCACAATCATATTGTTGTCACAACCAAAATCACAATCAAATAATTATTCCACTTATTTTTCATATTTTCACATGATCATTAGGATGTGCTAAATGGAAAAGACTTCATCAAAACTAGTCCGTTTTTCAAATAAAAACATTTTTTGGTCCTTATTTCTTAAATTGATGTATGTGTATATACATATGCTCATACACATGCATGAGTTTGAAAATATTATTAAATTATTTTTTAAATAATTACTTGTTCGTATCTTGGTACAACACATACTCATAAAACCAGATATAATTTATATGTATAAACATATATTCTGAATTTAGGAATAAAACCAAAAAAGTGCTATCATTTG